TGGAGTGATGGGACCGCTTAGGGCAGGTGGCGGAGCGTCGAGGCAACCTATAGGGGCTGGGATGAACAAGTGGGAGCGCAAGGGAGTTGTATGGTGCATGGTATAGCGGCGGCAAGTGCTGAGCAATCCTGTGGGTAGCGGCGGTTATTTGTTATTTATCTCCGGACGGTCGCAAAGCCATTCCTGTAGTATAAATTGTACAAAGTAGTGTACAGAAAAACAAGTTTTGCACTTCAGCATCTCAGAGAATTAGCATTACAATCTCAGTGACCCTCGAAGTCGCAAGCAACGACACCTGTCACAGGATTGTGCCTGTGGTGGTAGAAATTGCTATAGAGACTTGGTTAATTTTATTTTGCTAGGTAGAGCTCACCTGAGATAATTAAATTGACGGCGGAGATAAATCACTCGACGAGTTAGGTGTATTGGCAAAACTAGGATTGGTTATAATTCGCTAAGTTCGACACTTTCGAACTTTGATTGCGACTTTTTGGAGATAAATACTCTGGAGTGTCAACTAGTGTTTGTTTCAGGCATCAAAGTGTTTGTTTTATTTTTCTAGGTCTTCCTACGGACTACCCTACATTGTCTTACTCCTCCTTCCCCCTTGAAATATTAAAATACCCCTCAGTTGTCTCGGACCGCCTCCAACCATACTGCTAATGTTAGGTTTATTTTTTTGGTCCTTGGTGATTGTTGTGTCTGTGCATATCAGCGGGACCTCGACATAAGTCCCACCGAAGAAGATATCAAGGTCTTGGATGCTCTCATCGGGCAAGTTGACCCGGACCTGGATGTCAACATGGAGGACACCAAATCTGTCACCTCCAGCCGTGCATCCAAGCTCGCATTCAAGAAGTCGCTCGCGCAGATGACGCTGCAGACAGCAACCATGACAACAACCAGTCTATCGACTGGGGTAGTGACAAGGACCAGGGGGAGACCGTCAGTCTCGGCGACGAGGAAAACCTGGACTGCACTATCGCAGAGGCTGCTGGCTTCGACCAGAACACCTTTATCGACGAGCACTACTCGTACGTGCCATCTTCCCCTTTACAGGACTCCACTGATGCGCCATCACAGTTAGGGCAGTGTAGTGTAGATTTTAATTTGAGTCCTGTAACGTTGGCTTTAATATATTGCACTCATGCGCAAACTTATGCTGCGTGTGCAAAATGTAAGGGGAAAGATAAGGCACAACAGGGTAACACCTGGATCCTTGACTCGGGGGCCTCTCGGCATTTCACTTATGACATGAGTGACTTCATCAATTATGAGGAATTTAAGCAACCTGCAACCACTTCTACAGTGAACGGGTTTGCATGAATACTTGGGTTCGGTACGATGGTCCTGAATTATTATATCAAGGACATCAGGAACATAACCACTTGGTTATCTCCATAATACTATATGCCTGACCTGAATATTCACCTTATGTTGCTCAGACTCTTACTCCAGGATAAATTAAAAGTGTCTGGCAATGACCGACACATAAGTCTATATGAAAAGGTATTGTGTGAATCTTTATTCAGGTTTTTACCGTGGCAGCCTGGTGATTCTATCTATAGTGTCAGTACAATTCCTACACCGGATGCATACTCTATATTCCCAACGATCTATGCAGTCAATGATGGGATTATGCATGATTGCATGGGACACCCGTCTAAGCAAGTCCTGCGGCAAGCTAGGGAACACACCAAAGGTTTCCCCACCAATCTGGAGTTTCCATCGGAAGACCCAGTATGCCCTGGATGTGCGGAAGGCAAAATGCCTAATAAGGCTTTCCTGCCATCCACTCTATGGGCAAAAGAACTGCTTGAGTTTATTCATTCAGATCTTAAGTCATTTCCCATAGACTCCTACCATAAGTATCGGTACACAATCGTCTTCTTTGATGACTACACCTCCTATGGATGGGTCATGCATATGCGCTCCAAGGGTGCTGCAATTGCTAAGACTCATCAATTCCTAGCCTACATACAAAATCAATATGGCAGGAAAATTATTGCTGTTTTCAGAAAACTTGGCATGTGACCAGCACACATGATTTCGTGCTCTCGTATGTGTCTCTGCATTTTTGAATTTTATCTCGCCCATTGCTGCCTTGTTCAATGTGATTCAACTTGTGCCTGGCAGCTAAAATTCCAGGGCAGGGCCTGGCATATGTTTTTTGTGATGAGGGCATTAAAATCCGGCAGAGCACACTGTATGCGCTGTCAGCAGAACTTGCGATTGATATAATACCACCTAAATATCTCTAAGCGGTGCAGTCGTCAAGTTCCCCAAGAGAATGCTGGATTTGTCGTTGGTCGAGCAGTTCCCTTGTGTTCGATGAGGGAGAGTATAGGCTTTATAGAGGTTAAATCTCTTTGTTTCAATCTCCAGATAAACAGGTGACCAGAGGTCTACAGCTGGACTTCCAACACCAAACCTAGACTGAAGTATTTCTCACGGTAGAGAAACAGACTAGCTGTGGCAGACAGCAGACAGTACTGCAAGTCCTTCCCTTCTCTGAGGTGTCACAGATAGCTTAAGTCCAGACTAACACTGCTTGTTCCAGCACTTTGTGGAACCAAGACAGTACAGATGCACACAGTAGTACAACTGATTCTGAGGCTGACTTGAACCAATGAGGCTCTCTGGTATTTAGAGGGTCTCTTATTATTATTGGGGGTCCCTCCTAAGACTGTCTACTGAGCTCCTTATATACCCTACAGTAATTTGAAATTCATAACAATAGGGTGGGAGAATTGCCTGGTTACTAGGCAACATAGACAATAGTGTGAGAGAATAGTGTACAATAAGTGTGAGAAAAA